TCCGGGCGCCCGGAAGAGGGACGCGCCATTCTCAGCTGCCTGCCCGCCCCCCCGCAGCAGCAGGAAGGATGGCTTTGCTGGAGGGGACCTGCTGGCCTCCTCCTTCCTCTTCTTGCCCACGCGCTTGAAGCGAACCATCAGGTTGGACGTGGACTTGAGCACCGCCTTGTTCTTCTTTTTCTTCCTCTTCTTGGTGCTGTGCTTCTGCAGCCCCCAGAAGAAGCGAGACGTGTTCTTGAACTGCCCCTTCTTGGGCCGACGCAGCGCCAGCTTCTTGAAGCCCAGGAAGAGCTTTGAGGTGCTGCGGAGGCTCCGCTTCGCCCGGGCCTTGGGTGCCGCCGTCGCTTCCTCCTTCTCCTCGGCCAGGTCAGGCTCTGCCGATGCTTGGGGCTGGCTCTTGGCCTCTGCACCCTTGGCCCCTTTCTTCTTCTTGTCGGTTGTCAGCCCCATCACCAGCTTAGAGGTGCCCTTCAGGTTCTTCTTAGTCGGTGCAGCATCACTCTCACTTGCCTCGTCCTCTGTCTCCAGCTGCACCTTCTTCCCCCAGCCCGGCTTCTTCACCACCATCCCCTTGAGTGCTCCCTTCTTCTCCTTTCCCTTCCCCTTCTTGGGCTCCTCCACAGCTGCCTCCTCCTCATCCTTCTTCTCCTCCTCATCCTTCTTCTCCTCCTCCTCCACAACCTCCGGCTCCTCGCTCTCCTCCGCCTTCAGCAGCTCCGTGTCCGATGTCTCCTCTGGCTCGCTGGGCTCTTCCTTCTTGCCCTTCTTGCCATCCTTCCCTTTCCCTTTGCCCCCCTTCCCTTTGCCCTCCGCATCCTTTTTGGGCTCCCCCTTCTTGCCAGCCATCCCAGCGGTGGCGGGAGCTCATGCTCCAGCCCCGGCAGGACCTTGGCATACGATGCCCGGCACCGGCACGAGGCGGTTCCCGGCAGACCTTCCGGTTCCCGACCCCGGTGGGGGATTTACCTGCGCCCGGTGTTGGCGAGGCACGTGCCCGTGCGTGGCTCCCGTGGCCGCCC